GAGGGGCGAATGTAAAAGTGCACATGGCGAGCAGTAAGTTGGAAATTAAAAGCGGAGCGATGGTGGCGCGGGTATAGGAAACGGTGCAGGAGTGGGGAAAGGGGAGGGGAGGAGGTGGGTTTTAAAAACGTGGTATACGGAATAAATTGTTTTCACAGCTCTTCCACGTCACCACAAGCCAAGAGGATGCTGACGTCACTGGAACACTTACTTGTATTTCCTCGGGCTGGAACTCGCTGACCTCGAACCTGACCTTGAACCTTTGAACCCCGTCGGCGTCCGCCTCAAACATGCTCTTCATGCCGGTGTCTAGGTTGATGGAGGCCAAGGCCTGAGGGGATTTCTCCGCGGGCTTCAAGGTGAAGAAGTCCCGGCGCATTCGATCGAACTCGTCTTCCCATAACTTCCGTCGCTCCTGCGGATTAAAAATAAAGAATCAGCACAGGTGAGAAAAATATGAATAGCCTAATACATGTACACATTTTTTTCTCAACTTTATGTTTATTTTTTAAATCCTAATATCAGTTTATTTATTCATCTTTTTCTTTTTCTTTTTAGGAATTAGTCACGTACCACGGTTCTTGAAAAAAAATGAAGTCGTTCCGAAAACGAGCCTCACATTGTGGTATTTCGGAGGTCCATTGAGGTCTCCACTCGGAACTTACTTGGTAGGCCTTAAACTACAGGCAATCGGGATATCTTCTTCTAGTGAGGCCAACATAAGGATAGCCACGACGTCGTGCGCGTACTACGGTTTTAAACTATTGTAAGAAAGGAGACACCAACTAGATGCATGTTTGACCGCCAGTTTTGTTTCTAGTTTTGACGCTCCATTGTCAGGTCGAGACTCGAAAGGAGTTGCACGGGAGACTACGTATGAACGAAGAAAGATTTAAGCCTGATAGGCTATCGTGTACGAGACGAACCCAAATAGCGGAGGAGTTGCGTCCCGGTTGCTGTGACGCTGGCCTATTTATACCACCGCCATGTGAAGGTTTTTTCGGGGGGGGGGGAGTTACTATGATAAACTGATCTTTTGTATACTTCCATTTCGCCGCCATCCCTATAGACTTTTTTCTCTAATCAGTAACTAAACAAAACAACAACAAAACAACAACAACAACAACAACAACAACAACAACAACAACAACAATTCAGCAACAATAGTCCGGAGACAGGGAACTCAAAATCCTTTGTCACGAGAAAGAGAAGCTCTACCAGACACTTATAACTATTTTTTAACTTAATTAAGCAGTTTATAATGCAGAGTGCCAATCTTACTTATAGCTCTTTTTGTAGAAGGCAAAACCCGACACTATCGATTTGGGAATTTCCAGCATTTTGTGAACAGTACTGATTTGTTTGTTTGATTTACATTTATTTAAATTAACACATTCATAATATGTCTTTTATTTTGGTCTTTTGATCTTAATTTCCTCAAACCTGTTACTTTTGTGTATTGTACGTTCATTTTTTCCCTCTTTTATTTGTTAAATCGATTTACTTTTTTTTTTCGCAGATAAAAACGACTTCACTAAACGAATCCAAACAAAATTAATTCTCTACACAAACAAGTAGACACCCCGCCTCCATTCACTTTCAAGCAAAAGAACTCTTAGACCTATCAATACGTGGTTTCCCAATCAGGAACCAGCCAGGTCAGCCTACCCCTTACATTGGCTCACGAGAGTGTCTGTGTCATGACACCCAGCCTATAGAACAATTAGTAAGACTAAGACGACAGGGTATTCCTAGACGGAGAACGCTGTAAAGAGCGTAAGGAATGACAGCAGAACAGTAAAAAAAATTAACTCTCTCTCTCTCTCTCTCTTCCCATCTAAATATATATATCTCTCTCCCCTACGCTCTCTCCCCCCCTCTCTCTCCCCTACGCGCTCTCTCTCTCTCTCTCTCTCTCTCTCTCTCTCTCTCTCTCTCTCTCTCTCTCTCTCTCTCTCTCTCTACGGAGTGGACACAACTGTCCGATCAGTGGTCCAAAGGTAATGTTGCAGCACATTTCCGATGCATCGTACACAAAACAGAAAAACGAATTTGTATTTTGTATATAATTTCATTGCAGATGTGTTGTGAATGCCTTTTTTGGATATAAAAAAGAAACAGAACTATTGAGAAATCCGTTTGATTAACGAAGTTATGATTTTTTTTTAGTGCTCAGTAATAGAGCGATTTTAAACTTTGTCGAATAACGATGTATTTGCGTGAGTAATAGAGAGTGTATTATGTTTGTGTGTTTTGTTTGAGTGAATGAGAGAGAGAGAGAGAGAGAGAGAGAGAGAGAGAGAGAGAGAGAGAGAGAGTATGTGTATAGTCGCCCACGGGTTTTAAATCTTATCCTCCTCACCACCCAAAAAAGAGAGAAAAATATAGAAAAAATAATACACATAATAACGTTCTTTAGGAGTCTGGACCTTCAATTATCGTCCACTCCCGCAAAATCTATTAAGCATGTTTAAAGTTATACATTACCTAAACGATATACGCAAAAAATAATTCTCCTCCACCATCCAGAACGTGTTCGTTTACTCTGATACGTAAACCCAGTAAGATGTCAACTGAGCTAACAGTATGCACTCTGTGTCCCCATAGCCTAAGTCTTATAAATATGTCAATGTGAAATAAGAAATGCGCCAAACACAAATTAAAAGGATGTCTTCGAAAGGTCTCCATCGTTAGTGGTCTAGCGGTCAGGCATTTCGCCGTCGCAAGCAGAAGACCTGAGTTCGATTTCTTTCTATGGGAGAAAAGAAAAACATAACTTTTATTGAGTATTTCGGTTTTTCTGTTGAGGTATTGCATGTCTCGAAGTCTGGGGCGAGAAGCCCGCCTCCTAAATGATTGAAAGTATGTCGATGGCCACGTTGAACGCTCAACACGTTAACCTTAGCTAACAATTAAATCCCCGTGCAGTTAGTAGCCTCCAGCGTTGGCTTGTGGGTACGGTTGTTCCTATTGGCGTGATACTGAATATCGTATTATGTTGAGGAATTATTGTTATGTTACGTATTTTGAATACACTATCGAAAACCGAATTTCTCTTGGGGAATCATTAAAAATTAGATTTTATTTCACTTATTTCAGAGCAGAAACGACAACAACATCAGCATCGTCATCATCATCATCATCATCATCACAACCACCACCACCCACAACAAATCTAACCCCCAAAACAACGTCAATCACAATAAAAGCAGCATAACAAAAAGCTAAGCGTAACCACCACCACCACCACCACCACCACCACGACCGCACTAATAAATCGAACCGGCTCAGTCAGCCCATGGAGTGGGAGGAGAGCACTGCGCACAGCCTACAGTGCTAGCCCAGCAGATTCCTGAGTGACTCAGAGCTTGAGGAGACATGTCGAAATAACTAGACCAGGACTGTGCAATATTTTTGTACTAGCGGGCCACTTTCGAACATTGGAGAAACAATGAAGAATAGGAAAATTAAAACAATATTCAAAATTAAACGTAGTTTTCTGTTTACCCCCCCCCTATAGACTCAATTTAGATGATTTAGGAGGCGGGCTTCCGACCCTGCCTGTCAGGGCCAATCCCGGTGCTGAGAGGGATAAAACATCCGAGTAGAAAGACCGAAATACACCATAAAAATTTCTCCACATACGGGAATTGAACTCAGGTTTCCTGTATGCGACAACTAAGCGCCTGACCGTTACACCACAGACACCGGTTAGGACCAATCACCGTCAAAGTGCAATCGTATGTAATCGAATGTGTATTGAGTTTAAGTTTAATAAGAACGGTAAGCGAGGACCACACTGACTGTCTTGGCTTGCCGGGTTGGTACCCGCGGGCCCCCAGTTGCTCACCCGTAAACAAAACCATTACTGTTGTCACGAGAGTGAGTAGTAATGATGATACGAATGCCGGAAGATTATATGACCGACCTTGACTCGAATCTTTAAAAAGAAGAAATCTAAGCATTTTACACTCCCGTCGACGCCATTGACATTATTTAGAAGATGGGGGCTGTTTTGACCATACCTGCCCCTTGCCAAGTCGGGCTTCATGTGATTCAACATCCCAACCAACAGACGGAGATACAGACGAACCTGCTCCAACGACCACCTATATAAGACAATCACCTGCACAAACTGCCACTTCTTATTTCCTCAATTTAGTATCTTAAAAAAAACTTGCAATGCCACTGAGTAAGAAAGGCACTTGTCAAAGACGGCAACTTTCCCCTCGGCAATGGATGGCCGTCTTAAACAGTTTCAACAGCAATCATTCACATGAATTTCCACTTGGAAACCAAGCTCACGTCCTCTTCGAGCTACGTGGAAGAGAGTTATTATTACAGCACAGACTGTTTCCATTTCTCTTGTAAGCTATCAGGACTGACCGGTAAACCGGCGTCTTTGGAGTAGCGGCTAGGCTCTTCACTATCACACACAGGAGGTCGATTCCCGAGTGGGGGGAACATTTCTATCGAATTTCTCGGTCTTTCTGCTGAGACCTTGTATCCCTCTGAGCTCGGGTTGACCCTGGCAGGTAGATTTGACCACCAAAAAAAAAGCGTCGGAAACCCACCACCTAAATCATCTAAACTGTGGGGATGTGGGCATAAAAACACCTACATTTTAAAAAAAATGTCTGCTGCTACATATCAGTTCAGGTAACTTGAAAATTTCGTAAGACTTCTTGTGTCTCCTCCCTAGCCAAATATCGGAATCTCAAAGTCGCCGGACTGCACTGCTGTGTGTTTGTTAACAATCGACATTGGGCTCCATTGCTCTAAAAAAAACATATCTGGGTTGTTATGATCACTATGCACTTAAGCTACTTGCTTTCTCTACTTAATTAACTAAAAAAGCCAACATCGTCACCTGAACCTATGCCATTCAAATATCTCCACGGACAAAGAGAGACAGCTTATCACTTCAATATTTTTAGTAATATTACAATGCCATATTACGCTACCAGTGCGAGACCTGGACATTAAGTAAAACACACGAAAGCAAGCACAACCGCACAACCTTCAACCTAACAAGAATAAACAAGCAAAGACATGAAAAAGTAAGAGCGACTGTTGGCACAAAGTTCTGCCTGCATTTCACATAAAAACAGAGAATAAAATTTGATGGCTTGGCCACCTGTTACGAATGTCTCCTTGCCAAGGTAGATCTAAGCCATGCAGAAGATGGATTGAGGTAGTCAAGGCCTACCATAGCAAACTGCATATCCCCTATACGCTTACAGCAACAGAGGATGAAAAAGAAAAAGTAAGTAAAGCAATAATAAATACAGAGATATGCAGTCCACTGATAGAAGAGGGTATTATTTCTTATCATGATCTGTCTTTTTTAAATAATGCAATATCATTGTTTTCTTATGGGTAAAAAAATAATCAGACCAACAAACTATGCAAAAAGCAATGTTCTCTCACCTGCATGCGTGTCTCCATCTCGCCCCACTGTTTGATCTGGCGGTCTTGGAAGCTCATGTCGTCCTTCTTGATGGGCACGTGGATCTCCGAAATATAACGCGTCGCCATCTTGAAACGTAGGTGTGTATCCCAAGATTCCGTGCACTCGTCGACAGTCTATTATTCTATTATTCCTCGTAATCACAGAAATCCAAAGTTCCTTCGATGATTCTCATTGAACTCCCAACGAAGAAGAGAAAGTTCATTCACAACTGGATCCGTTTCACAAGGTAAGTCTTCAAGGGAAAAAAGAAAAAACCAAAAAACCATGTTAGATCTACTTTTTTTTATAAGCCGTATCTTCATAAACAATGAACATTCCAAAAGGATAATAACACATCTACACCTAAGAATTCGAAGAAACAATGACTATAGATTAATTCACACATGAGTGTCGGATTTGAACTTCAATTTCGCGAGATAATAAAGTGTGCTACGAGAAATAATACGTGTACTTTAACTAACCACAGACATAACGAGAGAAAGGATTAGGACTAGGTAGTAAATAAAAAACGGGAGGCTGAATTTCACAGCTGCCAACGTCTGAACTGAGGAATAAAATCATTAATCCCACACATAGATCTAGCCTACATTTAGGGAAAATAATCCTTTGCAGCGGTCTTTATCAACGACGAGACAGTTGGTATCGATTTAGTGAAAAAAATACTACCCCTTCCCTTTCTATATCCCTCATTTCTGTGAAACTATTTACAAGGATTTGCTTTGAAGTTCATAAGTACTCTTGGTTTAGTTTTAGTTTTAGTAAGAGTTTTACGACGGCACTTGCAAAACAATACGGTCATATAAGAGCCGAAGATTAGAGGTGTTACAAGAGAGTAATAAACACGAAAGGAGGGGGAGATAAAGAAGATAGACGTTTGATAGGAGAGAAGAAGCAAACCACACCAGAGCACCGCCAACCACCCACACTCTTGTTGGTTTGTTTGAGCTTTCTCGAATTAATGGGGGTAATAAAAAGTGTAAAAATCTCTTGAACGACTGCGGAGATTTTGAGCACGGTCATAAAAACTTAAACGTCAGCAAATATCACCGTGAATATAGGTCTCTGGAGTAATATTACCTCTTCGAGAAGACCCTTTCAATACAGTGTCTACAGCAATCAATGCTGGTAAAAATAAATCTCGTCACTGTGAATTATATTGTAACCTAGTACACGTATTCAATCGGCATCGTTACAAATGAATTAAACAAATGGATTGACAAGCAGGTCATACAAATTGAAGTTCTTAAAGGCATAACAAACATTTTCCCCTCAAATGTCACCCCCACCCCCACCCCCC